TTTCAAAGGGGGTAGTTTTCACCCCTTGTCTCAAGACAATCGACTCTGAAGCAGTTGCGAACATTTTCTTTTCCAAAGTTTTCTCTAGATACAGACTTTACAATAAACTTATATCAGACCATGGACCCCAATTTGCTTCCAGATTCCAACTCAAACTCAGAAAACTCCTTGGATACAAAACTCCCTTTCCACCGCATTCCATCCTCAGAATGATGGAGAGACTGAACAAGTTAATCAAGAACTCAAGGTCTATCTTCGAATCTTCTGCACCAACAACCAGACCAGTTGGGCCACCATGCTTCCCCTTGCTGAATTCATCCATAATTCACAGCATCATTCTGTGCATGGCATGTCCCCATTTTACCTCATGATGGGCTATCACCCAAAACATCTTCCCGATTCACATCCTAAATCTGACATCCCTAATATTGAACCACAACTACTTATGCTGAATAAAGCATGTGATGAAGCACTAGCCGCTCATGAACTTGCTTGTAACACTATGCATCAACGAATCACGTCTAAATTCGTACCATTCTCTGTAGGCGATAAGGTCTGGCTCAAAGCCAAAAACCTTCATCTTGGATATCCTAATCAGAAACTTGCCCCGAAACGTGAAGGACCATTTACCATCCTCCAAGTCCTCTCACCCATCACGTATAAATTAAAACTCCAATCTCAATGGCATATTCATCCCGTTTTCCATGCCACATTACTTTCTCCCTATAAAGAAAATGATGTACATGGTCCAAACTTCCTTAATGCACCCCCAGATATCATTGATGGAGAAGAAGAATACGAGGTTGAAGCCATTATTGGTCATTGTGGCTCATCATCTAGATGGTCTTATCATATTAAATGGAAGGGATTCCTGAGTTCTGAGAATGAGTGGTTAATGAAAAGACATTTGGGTAACACTTCAGACATTCTTTCTTCCTATAAATGATCACATCATCTTTAACTTTCATAGTAATCTGGGCTTACTACCCTTAAAATAGGGGTAATGTTACAGTTCTATTCTTTTCACCTCTTCACACTGTCACATATGCTTACTCATCACTCCATAGTATTCTATTACATTTGATTGTACGATTCTCATTCTCTTTTTCCTATTCACTAGTGCTGCCACAGTCCAGTTCCGAACCTCAGTTCAAACTCGGACCTTTCCAAACTGGACTCATGGTTCAGTCACAGGTCCAGCATTTCTCTTGGACCGAACCCCCTGGTAGGTCCAAGGTTCGGTAATTTCCTGATGCATGTGAACTGGTTCTGGACAAGTCCAGACTGGTTCGAACCTGTGCATGTGCAAACACGAGTCCGGCCATTTGGTTCTCATGAGGCTTCTTGACAGTTCAAGTAGTACACTCACCATCTTCTGCTAAAAGTAACTAGATTACCCTCATCACAGTGCTTGTCGGTGTTTTGAGCTATGCAATTCATCCAAATCCAACTTGAAGTGCCAGTACTATGTTCATTTTCTGTCATGTTTGATGAATCACTGACTTCTCATGTTTTTTATTTCAGAATATACCTACTACTGTGGTGATTCTCAGGTTCAACACCGAGTTTGTGCCATGGATTGTCATTATGATGTGTCAAGGTGCGCAACATTTTTGTATTTAGTTTAACATACATTCAATTGTGGTATAGGTTCGACATTTGCACTTCTCACCTCACCTATGTCTGAGTTGTCTGCACCAGCCCATCGTCCTGATGGTTCATTGAAAAATGCTGAAGAGATGGAGTGGATCAATGACCCCAACAATGACATTGCTGTTCTTCCTCCCCCTCCTGCATCCAACTCCAATGGCACTCTTAATTCTTTTATCCGTCATTCGGGCTGTGCCATCAAACCTACGGAGAAGATTTGCGAGGCTGTTGACAGTGTCCCAGAGAAACAGTGGGCTCCAGTGCCTCCTCAAGATGTCCCTGTGCCCAAGCAAGCACGCCCTGCACCCAAGCAAGCACTTGTCAATGCCAGTTGCCAAGATGATGATGATGACGACACACCCGAACTTGAAGATGTTACTGATAATGAGAAAGAGGAGGCTGCTGAGGAAGCCTACCAGAGGATGAAGAGGCACAAGGACCAGGACCGAGATGACCGCAAATCCCTAAAGAAAGATGAGCAAAGTGCAGATCTGACTACTGTATTCACCCTCGAGAAAGGTTGCATCAACCCACACACACAGGAGCATGAAGATGGGTGGTGGTGTGAAGTATGCAAGGCCAATGGAGTACCCTTACACCAGTGCTTTTTGAAGGGCAGCATCTCAACTCGCTGCACTCACATCACCCACCGCCCTAAGTGCCATTTCCCCATCTACAAGGACCAGTGTACTGAACGTGGTATCACAATGCATGATCATGCTATACCTCGCATGTGCAAAACAATGCCCCAGCTGTGTGTAGTTTTTCCCCTTCTTTTCACTACCATTTTATGACATTTCGCAACTGTAGTCAGAAAACCTTAGACAACTCGCTCACTCCCAAGATTCCTGCATTCACCAAGGCTGGGCTTAGGGACTATATTGTTGAACTCATTGTCTGTGAAGACGAGGTATGTGATTTCACTTTCTAATCTACTGTTAAGATCCTTACACCAAACAGGCCTTCCAACTCGTAGATAAAGGACCCTTCCGTCATCTGCTTCAATATCTCCGACCCTCCCTCTCAGCTCAAGATATTCCCCATCGAACCAAAACACGAGACAAGATTCTTCAATGCACCCAGCTGGCCATTGAGCGTGTGAAAGAGAAACTTAAGCATGTCAACAGCAAAATATCGATGACATTCGACTCATGGACATCCGACCCTGGTGATCCTTTCCTTTCTGTTACTGCTCACTATATAGACTCCCCAATTGAAACTCCTCAAGAGTGGGAGCTCAAGATGGAGCAACTTGCATTCACACCAATTGACGGCAATCACAGTGGCACCAATATCGGCCGAATGTTGATTGGGTATCCATATGAAGGTTGGTTGGTTCACAGCCGACAACACCACCAACAACGACACCGCTATCGAGACTGTTGCTGGTGATATCGACCCTTCTGGTGAGAAGTGGGATGCGGTTGAACATTGAGTATGGTGCATAATATTTGATGTTTGAATTGAGATCTAGATTGCTGATGAGTTTGTTTAGTTGTATGGAGCACACACTCCACTTAGCAGCAAAACATTTCGTGGAAGAGGTTGCTCCTACACCAGCAAGTGCTCTACACAAGAAGGCAGCTGTAGATTCAGATGATGAAGATGAAAATGTCAAGTTCAATGTCGCTGACACCATTGGAAAAGCACTTGCTCTTGTCACGCAGGTAAGTAGTCCTTTCTGCCATTGCATAATACTGACACCTTCCTCAGATATGGAAGTCTCCCCAGGCTCACATCTTCTTTCAAAAGTGCTGCAATGAGGTGAATGAGCCTCCCCTGGAGCTCTTGAAATGGATCTGAACACGCTGGGCCACGCTTGTCTATATGATGCAGCATGTTCTACAATTACGAAAAGTAAGTCATCTACTACTCATAGCTACCACAAATAGCATCGCTAATTTTATTTGTTAGGGAGTCAATAGGTTTACCCAACTTTCTGATGATAGTGACAAGGTTCCCAACCTGCAGGGCGGCAAGTCATACATGTGATTCAGGCTTTCACCACAAGAGTGGAAGGACTTGAAGTTGATATATGATGTTCTCCAAGTTCATTATTTATTTCCTTTGACTATGTCCCATATGCTTACATTCTACGCAACAAGGAACCCGCAGATGCTCAGCAAACATTCTCAGCAACTCGTGAACCTACCATTTGGTGCACTATTCCAGTGCTTGAATTTCTTCAAGAGACGTGGAAAACCATGACCGGCTCTTCAAAATTCAGCAATGTCTCAACAGCCATTGAGGCTGGGGTCAATAACCTTCAGAAATGGTATCACAAGACTGACGACACCGATGTATACTTCATCTGCCTCGGTATGTAATTTATGCTAATGCCTCTGAACCTTGAACGCTAACGTGTTGAGTCTGTAGCATTGGACCCAAACTATAAAGTCACGTATGCGAAAGCTAAATGGGACTCTGATCACTTTGATGAGGGCATGATATGTTTCAATAAAGTTGTATGTCATTCGCTGTCTCTTCATTAATTGTACACATACTAATCTTACATAGTTTGATGACTACCTTCATACTATTACTAGTGCCTCCTTGCCTGTTACAAAGCCAGGTGTTGCTGTGCCTCCATCGCTTGGTCGCCAAGGCTCATATGGCCAAAATTGGATGCGTGACTCCATCAAATTGTGTATCACGGATGATGCAGCAACACGACTTGGATGACCTCATCAAGAACTGGAGGATTATTTGGCCTCACCACTGGAGGATGTTGACAATGTGGTGGCGTGGTGGGGGGTACATCACATCATTTATTTACATTGCTCAAATTCAAAACACTTTACAGCACCATTCTATTCAATACCCTACTCTCTCCCACATCGCCAAAGACTACCTCGCTATACAGGGATCCATTGTAGCATCGGAACGAGCATTCTCGAGTGGGGGCATCACTGGAATGGCACGTTATAATTGCTTACTGCTGACGACCTTTGAGGCTCTTCAACTGCTGAAGAGTGGTTATCAGCACGGCCACATCTCCGCAACAGCCCAAGCTGAGTTCTCTGCTCCATATGACAACCATGTTGTGCATGAAGAGTAGCCATTGGCCCATTGATAGTGTATTAATGTGACCTTGTATATTTTTTGCAAATGAAAATTTAGTGTTTGATGGTCCGAACCCATTCTGAACTCAAACCGAACCTTTGCAAACACATTCATAGGAGTTCGGTCCAAGGTTCATCCTAACTGTCTGAACCTGACCAGCGGTCAAGTTCAGGGTTTGCAGATATATGTCAGAAAATTCTAATTTTGGTTGAAATACATTAAAAGGGCGTGGAAGGCCTCAATTTACCGGCAGCATTGCAGTCCGGTTGCAAGACAACCCAAAAATCATGGAAGTTGCTTGGAAGCCTCAGGGGTGGTCTTCCAAGACTGTCCCAAGACCATTCCAATGCAAGGGTCAAATTTTGAGACAGCCAAAGACGGTCTCGATTGCAAGACAATTGGAAGTCACATAATTCCATTTCAAGGATACAAAGTTCATTGGGTCCATTGTAAGGCAATTTAAATGCATCAAATTAAAATTTATCAAAATACAGCGGTTACAAAAGTTGATTTTCTAGATATGTATCACTAATACTACTACAAATATGCCTTTGATGAGGTGCTTTCATGCAGAATGAGTTGATGGGACAGACAAACACTCAGAGGGCACCCTGAGTCAAAGCAAAAAGTAATACCCCCTGCAGCCAGATAATGTCAATGGGGTTCGACTAATACGTGCAGATACGCACATTATGATGGTGGAATGGCGGCACTAATACAATGGTCCAGGAATGAGAGTCCAGCATCCACAAGCAGCTACAGCGAAAGAAGAACAGTGCTTCTGTGTGCTTTGTGGAGGAATCTCCTGCAATTATACCGCCACACAAATCCTCTGAGGAGGAAGAGGAAGAGGCAGAGGAAGATGGGCAAGGTATTGATGATGGCGAGCCTGCTGTCGCATTATATGACTTTGAGGGCATGGGCTCAGATGAATTGAGCATGCAGGAGGGTGAGCGGCTCTGGATCATTGAGAAAGAGGGCGAAGAGTGGTGGAAGTGCAGAAAAGAATCATTTGATGGTAAGCAACTGCCTGCCTCGACGAGTCAACAATGATGATGGTCTTGACGGGCTGAGGATTGCTGATGGGAGTGATGGTCAAATGTTTGTTGCCTAATGTCATTGGCACATTGGTGTGGTGAGTTCTGGCTGGCAGCGATGGCCGTTAACATCAGTGACTGTTAATTGAAAAAAAGAAATGAAGTTATCAGTGACAGTATCAGACTGTTATTAATAAGACTTACCCACATCTGGTCCAGAGTCTGTCAATGAGTCTATAAATGAGAGCCAACCATATGATGTTGGCATTGAGGAGAGAATCTAAGGGAAGTCCAAGGCAGATTCAGACTGTCACTAAGATGGAATCTGCTGTCAATGTGGTCAAGGATGATAAGGTCTGTTGAAAGAAGAAAAGTTGAAGGGAAGACAAAGTTCAACCTTTGTTTGGCCTTGCATTGTCTTTCCATAATAGGAAACAACTTGTGATTTGAATCAAAGTCTAACGCATAACAGCAAATTCTACAAGAACTATTAACTAAGTAGAGTCTAAGAGCGACAAGCAAAAGAACTGAAAGTTGCCAGCATTTGCAACCAAGTCTCAAATCTTTTAAAGCCTGGCTGCTGATGGACGAGCGTGACAGAAACGCCCTTGAAAAAAAGGTAATGATGAGGCAAATCAATGTATTGAAAACAATGTAGGTGGAATGACCGTGACGTCAGATGAGCATACTATTTGGCCTTTTGGCCAGACCTCCATGTAGTCTGAGTGTTGATGCTCCCAACAACCGAACGAGTAGAATCCACAGTGAAACCTTCGCCAATGACAAGATTATCAGCTGTCTGGGCTTTGCGTCGGGGCTTTGGTTTTGGTTTTGGTTTTGGTTTGGGGCATGCATCATTAATTTCTGCGGGACCTAAATGTTCAACTCCAACATGGGCATCTTGAGGCCCCAGATTAAGGCCCCCCATCATGGTAGATATAGACTCTGAAGGAGCTGGAACAGGTGGGGCTACAATAGTGGGAGCTGTCATGAGAGGATGATTTGGAGCTGCAGGAGGATGATTTGGAGCTGCAAGAGGATGAGCCTCATCTTCAGAGTCTGAGAGTAGTGAATCGTGTGGGATATGAATGGTCCGCAGGTTTGGTAATAGCGGACCAACGACATCTGCATTGAAGACCGGGCCTTCGAGCTCCTGTTCCATGGCACGCTTGAACTCTTCTTCATATGTGTGGCCTGGTCCATTGTCATTGGCAGGAGGAGGGACAGAGGATGAAGTTGAGAAGAGAGCATTGTTGAAGAATAAGAGAACCTGATGTGCCCAGGAGCCTCCAGTTAGTAGGCGTTGATGGAAGAAGTTGTGGTATTCACGATATGATATCTTAGTAGTCTCCCCAATCTCAGTCAGTTCTGTGTCACCGGAAAGTAGGAATATTGCCTGATATTTGAGAATAATGAGTTGTAGTTGTAACGATAACTCAAAAATAACTTACGACAACAGCAGCAGCAGCAATCATACCTGGTGTCATAGCCCATAGTTTCCAGATCTTGGCCTTTGTCCTCAAAGATGCAGCACCTGTGGCAGCCAACGATGATTTGCCAAAGAGCAATACTTTCAACACCTGCCATTTGAGGGTTTATTAGCCTGTACAACAGGAAAAGGAGGAACAATGTACTTGCACCAGCTTTGCTGATTGGAGCATCTCACTTGGTACCGGCTTTTTGGGTGTAGGAAACAACACCGGCGCAAATTTTGTATAAGATAGGCGTCACTCTTATCCAGCACCGCTTACATCAGCAAATTGAGAGCCTCGCCGTTGCTCAAATTATGGGCACATATATTTATTTCTGATGTTATTGGATCCTAGGAAATATTTAACAGCAGTATAGTTTGAACTGCCAGGAAGCAGAAATAAAAAATATTCAAAACTGAATGAGATTTTCATTGTCCAATTTTTTTTGTTCTATTAAGTCAGAAAGTGGTTTACAAGGCCATGAGATGCCAGGGAATAATTTTGAAGTTCTCGAATCACCAACATTTGGCCGCTTATATAATACATCACGTGATGTGTGCCTGGGCAGGACGAGGAGGAGAAGGCAGCAAAAATCAGTGATATTACCCACAAAAAGCATCTCACAATGGGTGCAACATCTAAAGCTAATAAGGCTCGTCTCAGGAATATTCAGTCTGCACTTTCCAGGTCCCACAAAACCACAATTAAAGATGTCTCTGACTCGAGCTGCAGTGATTCTGAGGATGATATAGGGTTCCACACGCTTCATTTCCGCGTATGCGCAAGGTCTTACTGGTGGCAAGGCAGCTTGGGCTAACTGTCAGTACCATGGACATCGCACTCTACCTCCCTCCATGATTCTCGAGGTTAAGGAGACACTTAGAAAGGCTTAATGCACTAGAATATAGTGTTACTGCATGTAGCATGTACTAATCACTCGTCACTCGTCACTAATCCTTCTTGCGGCAGTCTCAACTTTTGAAAATTTTCAAGTCAAAGGTTTGGCCGCATTTAGGGTTAGAGTTATGATTATGTAAGACATGTTGGAAAAGAGTGACGCCTATCTTAGTCACCATGGGGACTCAGTAAAAGTGCATGACATCCGGCGTCTTCATGTCGTTTGTAGCCCCGTATGAAGATGTTCACACTCAGACTGAAGATGGCACCAGCACATGCCTTGACATCTGAAGCCATTTCGGAATGAGCATTACTGACACCCCTCCCGAACTAAGGAGATTCAGATCAGAACATGAGAATACATTGACAGGACAGGTGCGACATACCTGAGAGCCAAAACTCTGATAATTCATCAATTTGTGCTCTTCTGTGGGAATGAACTGGAATAGTTCAGCCTTTACACCATCCTCCATCGACACCCCACTTATCCAGAATTCCTTGCTGTTAAGATTGATGTCTGGACAAGTACACAACGGGAAGATCTCAACGTTAACCCAAAGGCAATGAGTGATGGAGTACTTCCTCCCAAGAGTTCGGATGGTGTCTTCCTTGGCTGCCATTGCAAGATCATTCAGGGTGATATTACGTCATTTGCGACCTTTGGATGTTGCCACCTCAAGGAGTGCGTTCCTTTTCATAGTCTCCCAGTATGTACTACACAAGTTGAGTAACAACTTCTGAGTGACCTCGAGAGCCTAGTGGTTGCGAATTGAGGAATTTAAAATGTAATATCAAACTCGATAACAATGTAATAGCTTACCTGACGGAGCTCCTGAGATGTTGCATCTACAGGAGCAGGTGCAATTGTGGCACAGATGCATACAAGCTCTTTGTCTGAGTCATCCGAATCAGACTCTGACAAGGACTCAGAGTCAAATTCAGTGTTGGCCTGCAGTAGATCTTGGCACGGCAGCATGATGGGCAAAGGCGAGAGGACTGGCGCGACTCAAAATTGGGTGGAGCTGGAGGAATCTGGATTAGTGTCACTGTGAGTTTATATGCAAAACTCACAGTCTGGAACATGCGCTGATAGGCGAGCATTGTAATTCAGAACATTTTGGGGACTTGAGGGCAGCACCATGTACAAATACATACTAAACCTGTAGAACAAGTAGCGATTACACACAAATAAGTCACTCAAAGGTAAAATACACACCCGTTATGCCCCAAAATGTCTAAGTACAACTTGTAACGCATAATGATCCACATGTGGTATCATCATCAAACCCCTGCCAAGATAGGGCCACGTCATAAGAAACGCATAATGAGTACACATGTCAGTCCTACTGTTACACCGGTGACCTTGTTAGTGAGCAGTAAGACCCTTCAATTTCATAAAGCTTACTGTTATTTGATATGTATCATGTCAATGAGTCTTCAGAAGACAATAAATTTGGAAGTTGATGACGTTGACCTGATTGCCGATGCCCACAAGGAAGTTGTCAGGCTTGATTACACAGTTGAGGATTGTGCTTTAGATAATAGAAGTCAGATGTGAATGGAAAGCGTAGATTAGAGGCCGCACCATTTGAAAATGTGCATCACAGAGCACAAACCACACAAATCCATGTCCTCTCTGTCAATGAACCTGGAACTGCACAGAAGCAGATGAAGGGAATTGTGGGGAGGCAGACAAGGGCGCACTTGAAGAAGCTCCTCAACAGTCTGAATTGCAGGGAGGCAGATGTAAACGATGGTGCATGCCGGAAGCAGACAAGGGTGCGCCTGAAAAACTCTTCAACTGCCAGAATTGTGGGGAGGCAGATAAGGGCGCACCTGAAGAAGTCCTTCAGCTGCCTGAATTGCAGGGAGGTAGACATAAATGATGGTGCATTCTGGGAGGCAGATGAGGGTGCACCTGAAGAAGTTCTTCAACTGCCTGAATTGTGGGCAGATGAGAGCGGGGAGGCAAATGAGAGCACACCTGAAGAAGTTCTTCAACTGTCTGAATTGTGGGGAGGCAGATGAGGGCGCACCTGAAGAAGTTCTTCAACTGTCTGAATTGTGGGCAGATGAGAGCGCACCTAAAGAAGTTCTTCAACTGGCAGAATTGCAGGGAGGCAAATAAGAGCACACCTGAAGAAGTTCTTCAACTGGCGGAATTGTGGGGAGGCAGATGAGGGCGCACCTGAAGAAGTTCTTCAACTGGCAGAATTGTGGGGAGGCAGATGAGGGCGCACCTGAAGAAGTTCTTCAACTGGCGGAATTGTGGAGAGGCAGATGAGGGTGCACCTGAAGAATTGAGGAAGTTCTTCAACTGCCTGGATTGTGGGGAGGTAGATGCAGGTGCACCTGAAGAAGTTCTTCAACTGCCTGAATTGCAGGGAGGTAGACACGCATGCTGGAAGCAGATGAGGGTGCATGGTGGAGGCAGACAAGGGGTGCGCCTGAAAAACTCCTCAACTGCCAGAATTGTGGGGAGGCAAATAAGAGCGCACCTGAAGAAATTCTTCACCTGCCGGACTTGCACACGACAGGGCAGGAGGTCCAAGAGAGAAGTATTGTACAATGGGGATCTAAGGAGCCTGCCAGGATTGTAGATCTGTGATATGGAAAGGTATGGTAATATCTATGGTAAAGTACAGTCCAGTGAGGGATGAGTTAAAAGAGTTGTCTCTGAGAATGAAGAAATATGTCAGTGTCTACATAATTAACAAGGAAATAGTCTCCAGGAATAGCAAAGTCCGGAACAATTAATACGCCATGAATGATAGAGTGAAGCATGATGAATTCTGATGAAGCCAGGGGTCACACACGAAGATGAGTCAGTCGCAAATCTTGGTCAATAGCACGTCATGGACCCATTCGCACATCCATAGGTATAACTAAGGCGAGATCTAAAACCTTGCTGCCAACCATGTGCTTGAACATAAACAAGATGCGAACAAAAATGTTCTTGTCATTGCTGTCCTTGTCATTGGTGTGAATCAGGGCACAGTCATGTCGCTCATGGCCATGGAAGCTCAGGTTACACCACAAATAATCTGTAGCAAGCTTCCAATCCACAACAGACTCGTAGTTGACCTTGAGGAACCAATGCTCCTGGACCTGCGATAAAGACATTTAAGAAGAGGAACATCAGCGAAACGACTATTACTGACTGTATCTCGTGCTGAAAGTGTCAGCCATTTTTTTCCATCAGGTAGCAGTATGTTGTAAGCAGGTAGAAAGTCATTGAGGAATAATGAAAGTTTCTTGCGGAACTGTGCAAAGGCAGGCTTGGATGCATCTTCTTCTTCGAGCTGCAAAAGGGTGACTGAGTGTTGTGGGGCACCAAGATGAATGTGCCCGCCAAAAGGTTGGTCATCTAGGTCTTCCTCCTCGAGCTCTCTCTCTGACAGCATGACTTTACATTGTTCTTCATCAAGGTATTCAATGCAGCTGTGGAGGAGCCTGGAGACGAGGGTCATATGATCTAATCTAAGTATCTGGTATGCAAAGGATGAACGATGAGTTGATTTACAGAAAGAATAAAGTAATACCTGGTTAGTGACATCCTTCCCGTTTGTTTGCAATTTGTACGCGCATTTGATCAGTCCATGTTGCTTCTCGTTTGGTCTGGTGCTGAAGTTTCGAGCTGCGCCTTTCTCCCTGATGTCAGTAAATACATGCTTCAAGGCGTGAGCCTTTGGGAAATTCCAATTCTTGATTGTGTCATCACCAAGGACCTCGATATATTCCTGTGTGATAGTAGCATTGAGTCACAATGATGGGTGCAAGCGATTCAGACAGGACTTACATCTAACAGTTTCTGAAACACAAGTATCTCCGCCTCCACAGCTGCAAGAGTACTTTCAGTATGAACATCAAGCGATATGTACATATCAATGTGAAGATAGCTCACTATGCACTTTAAGAGTGCATAGCCAGCTTCATCTTCCACATGTGTGAGTACGTTCTGTGCCACATGCACAATTTGCTATCAAAACAATGAGAAATGTACAGTTTTAAATCTAGCACCCTAGAACATACCCTAGATATATCCTGGAACTTGTTGCCATCGGTAAAATAGATGTTAGTAACACAATCAAAATGGTTCAAGTTTCGCCATCGCAGAAACGCATCAAACCTTTAAAATTAATGACATGACAGACTGATAGAATAACGACTGGGAAGGGACTTACTTTTCATCAACCTTCTTCTCAGCGGCACATCCCAGCACCTTGAGGTGTTTCTTGAACTCGTCAAACAAGTGATCGCTGAATTTCCCCTTATGTAGTGGATCCTGCAAGAGCGCATCATGCAGGTTGGACAGCTTGACTTTCCAAAATGCATTATGATGGTTGTGAGATCATGTAAGTGAGAAAGACATCAATCATGCACCTTGATAGGCCTCAAGCTCCGTTTCTTCAGTTCCACCTCGCCTGCAATACAGTCTCTGGACCATAACTCGACACAATCTTGTGTGTCTTTAATGGTGCGCTTAGGGTAGGTCGTTGAGTGGTCGGTGAGCTCTTCTCTTGGGACCAGGCAAATGGGACAAGGACAGGCCGAATTGAGGCCTGTATTAGCGCCATCACACACCTAATAATATAGATCATTTGTGTTAGAAACGATGTGTTAATGAAATATAAATGTGGATCACTCACTGCTCTTCATAATCAGCCAATAGGATCAGAATTAACGGGAATAGCCAGCGTTGAATTCCATCATAGCACTCGTGTGCAAAGCCGGTTGCAGATAAGAGCATGATAGTTACGAGCAGGATTGAAAATGATTCGTGCCATACGACACACTTCAAATTCATGTAGGAAAGTTTACTGTCCTCATCTGAATCCTCAGGAACCTGTAACGAGGGGCAAAGACCATTAATTGAGTCCCATTGACATAACATTGCAAGAACTTACAATCGGTAACCAACCTACCAGGCACCCTCCTCTGGGACCATCGACATTCCTGATGTTAACTGGTAGATTCCCACAGCAGGCAATTACTGGTTCTGCTTTGACAGTACCAGCCGATGAAAGATGAGTTTTGTCAGCATATAATATGAATGTGAACGGCACTCCATTCTCAGGCAACAATGACTAAATGAATCAGTCAGTCACATAGTATACAAAGAGGGATTGATCACACTTGAAGATCCCACCAGCGGTCTCCTATCCATGGCTGGTGGAAGAAGCACTCAAAGCGAGTCCCATTGTGCTTATAAAGCTGCTGAGCGTCCCAGACAAAGTGCAGAGCCAACAAGGGATTGACTAATAGGTCCATTGCCCAGTCCCACAGAGGCCGCGAATAAACTTCATACTCAATCATTTCCTTTTTGTAATCAATGGGTATAATATGTTTTTCGAACTGTTTAATTGAACATGGTCATGTACACTTGATACAAAGGCAAAATAAAGTTACATGGCTCTTACTGGTGTCATCTGGCTAGATGCCCTAGTCCATGCAGTCGCAACATCTGTGTGCATATGGAACGAAAACTTTGTGTGACCATCTGCGACTTGCCAGATGAACTTCAACAGCTCATTGGTTTGGTCCTTGTTCAGCGCAGCTTTGTGTGTGAACTCAGCAAACTCAAAGTCTGCATGAGAGGTAAAAGGGTGCCAAGGCATATCATCAACAATGGGTGAACATGGTCCCAAACCACTCCCGTAAGCAGAAAATGTTTCAACAGCTGTTGGGCGACTGCTGTGGGGGTGGAACTCTGTCTTGAACATGTTGGAACAGGCTGAGGTTGTGGCTGTGGCTGCGGAAACTGGAATGAGACGAGGAGGAGGTGCTGCTCCTGCAGAGGCACTAGCCATGCTTATATCAGAGTTGGAACCTAATAAATGATGTTAGTTATGTGACTTGGGTCAAGATAAGAACACGTACATTGTCGTGCCTCACCCTCGACGCTCTGTGTGTCATCAAGACCCCCTTCCAGTCCTGCAGCAAGATAATCGTGGTCACCGTCATAATCGTACACGTCATTTACAGTAGCAACAGATGTTGCAGCTGTGCCTCCTGGACCTGATTCGGAGTCCACAAGCACAGAGACTTGAGCAGATGTGCTGGTGGGGTCATGCTCATGTGTTTGCTTGTGTTTCTTGCTGCGATGATGTTCTGACACAAAAAAATTCAATAATCAGTGATTGATTCAGAGGAGATCAAGATATAAAATGTTGACGAACTGTGTTCTCCTTCATTCAAAATTGAGTGTACTGCAGCCCGCGCAAATTCTCTGTCCTCTTTCTTCTTTTCCTTCCATCAAAGGCAGCTCTGCTTGTGTAACTTGATGCCTCTGGATGTGTGGGATTCATTACAATATTGACATTGGACCTTGATGGTAGATGCAGCAGTTTGCATGTATTTGCACCCTCCAGAGGCTCCAGTGTTGTTTCTGAGTGCAGGCATATGTCACTGTAGTATACACACAATGAAGAGTTGCTTTGAATTCAAATACAGGACATCGAAAATCGTTTGACGTATGATCAGAATCGGAATGAGATTGTAATCAGTTGCTGACATAACTGAATCCTTGGAAGGCGCAAATACATCTTGCAAGTTACCAAAAATAATGTCGCTTCCTTGGAATGCTCTAAGAATATACCACAGTTGCTTGGAAGAATCTTGCATTGCGGATGCAATACAGCTAAATGATGTCTCAATTTGGAAACATTGCAAGGTACCTATGGAATTTTCTGACATAGGTCAATGAACCTGACTGAACTGGACTTCGGCAGCACTACTATTCACTATTTACATTCAAACTCCTCTTTAATATTCCTATATATACATCTCATTATGCTTTGTATCTTTAACTTGACTTATGCAGACCAGGGCCTGCAATCTAGCTTTCATCTTCATCAGAACATTGGCTTCACTTGAATCCTTGAACATTAAGATGTCTAAACAACACTGAGCATAACACCAAATGGATGTTCTGCTAACAGCAAGACAGATGTGGTTCTTCTCTCGAATGAGAGGTCAAAGATTCAGGCTAAGGCAAGTGTAGGCGACTCCCTTAGAATAGTGGTTCTTAGACAGCAAGGTTGAAGACCTTGCTGAAGGACAAGTTCCAGGTAAAACCCAGTAGATTAAAGTAAGGAATACAACCAATGAACTACATGTCTATATATAGTGAATGTTTAAGCAGAGCTTGTAAATGACCTATCAAGATAAGGAGATAAAAGGCGGACAGCCCACTTGATAAGAGATATGTGATAGCAAACATAGTGCGGACAGCCTGCTTGATGAGAGATAAGTGATAGCAAACATAGTGTAGACAGCCCACTTGATGGGAGATAGGAAAAATGAATAGGGGTCTAAATGTTATTGTAACATCATTGAACTCATACCATGTTTCGGTGAGAAAGTGGCCAGTGATATTTCATCAGTCACTTGTTTGGAATGCTACAAGTATTTCTTTTTGAACAACTTTGTGGACAAAGAAAGCTACCATGCATTGAGTACTGAATTTGCATAGACAGTGGCTCAATTAGCATGATCAACTATTGGTATCACATATATTGTATTGTATCTGTGAGCCTATCACATCCTATCAACAAAAGATAACTGGAAACCCCGTGTGTAGGGAAACACTCAGAACGGAACAGACAAAGCGTGGACAGGTCGTGGATTGATGGTGCAGTCAGAAGTAGATAAGATACAAGGCAGCAGCGCCACATGATTATGAACCAATCAGCCAAGCCAAACATTCGCAAGCAAGCGCGTAGTAAGCATCCAGCTTACACTCCTCCACCCTATGATGTTGCAGCTTCTTGTTCTCCTAACCAGATGTCCAGGGCCTCCGTTTCTTCAAGCTCTCTTCTCAGAAGCCACTCGTCTGCCTCTGGTCCCTCTCCCTGCCATCTAACCAGGTACTGGGTACCCCTCCCTCTCCGTCTTTCATCAACGATCTTTTCGATGAAACACTCGACGTTGCCTTCTGCCATGACGACGGCACCTGGACGTTGTTGTTCACAATTGGGGAATAGCAAAGCGTTGTTCTGATGGTATTTGCGCAGTTGTGAAACGTGGAAGGTGGGGTAGACGTTCATCGTTTTGGGTAGATCCAGTGTATACGTGGAAGACTCCGAATGACAATCAGTGATGGTGTATGGTCCATCAAATCTGGGCATGAACTTAGCTACGCGATGTTTGCCCTTCTGTAGGTATTCCTGTCTCCTGTTCTTTGTGGCGAGAAGGACACGGTCTCCTACTTGGAAGTTAGGCTCGTCTGCGCGGTGCTGGTTCGCTGCTGATGCTTGGCTTGCTTTTGCAGCAAACAAGGAGTCTTGCGCCTCTAACACGTCTGTTTCTAGTTGCTTGATGAGAGTGTGAGCATCGAACTCGGTTTCTGACAAGTTGTCATTGTGGACGAGTGGGGGAATGAGTCTGGGTGAACGACCAAGATGTGGTTGAAATGGAGAGAAACCGGTGTAGAAACAACAATACTGAGAGGAACAAAGAAATGCTCCTGACTGTATCTAAAAAGTTGTAGGTCGTGCGTTGCCTAGTCTGCGATACTTGAGATGGCAAGTGCATTTGACCCTAAAGGGGAAGCAGGTGCAGCGGAGATCTAGAGGTACGCGCTTCAGTGAAGCGCGAGAAAGCGCAGGTGCGCGCAAGGTACGAAGGCGCGGGAACGCGCGCGCGTATTAGCGCGAAGCGCGGGAAACCGCGCGCGTGTAAGCGGAAATAAGAGAGACTAAACTTATGTGAAGATATAAGTAAGATAAAGGATGTGAGATGTGTTGTGCTAATGAATAGATTTCTACTGCGACTTTCTAAGTAGTAAGTACTAGGTAAAGTTGGGTGAAAAGTAAGGTAAATAATAGTATGTACTGCTGGCGCTTATATAGCGCGCCTAAGCGCGCTCATGCGGAGCCGAAGCGCTACCGAGTAGGTATGTAAAAATATATATGAGTGAGAAACTATGATAAAAATAAAGGTGGAACTATGCTAATAAAGGAAATGGAAATATACGCACTAGGGAGCTTGGTGGACAATGGATGGATGCATCTGGATGGCTGGCGCTATAGGGCGCGCAAGCGCGGGAACGCGCGCGCGCGTATACATTGTGAAGCGCGGGAATGGTGCGCGCATGGCGCGCGTTGCGCGGGAAAGCTGCGCGTCATATAGGAATCACTGTGGATGGTACACAGAGTGATGCTGCGAGTTGGTGCTGTATACTCCCTAGTGTAAAGCGCCATATCACACTATGAGATGCACGAGTCTCTATACCGGTACTGGCGTTACATGTGTTCATGATACTGAATCGAACCTGCGGTAGTGCCCGTACCCAGCCTTTCTGGTTCCGTTCGACGTGGAAGCGAATGCATTGGTTGAGCGTTTTGTTAGTGCGCTCACTAGCGCTGTCGGACTGAGGGTGAAAGGCTGTTGACATTTTTAATTTAATACCCGTCAGTTGCGTTAAGGACTTCCAGAATGATGAAACAAAGAGCTTGTCACGGTCTGAAACTATCTCCAGTGGCAGACCGTTTTCACAATACCATTCATTGAAGAACAGTTTCGCGAACTCCTGTGCTGTCACGTTTTCTCAACACAGTACTAAATGAACATCAGCGTTGAGATGGTCGGTAATCGTAGCTACCATGTTAAAACCTTCGTCTTCAGGCAAGGGGCCCACAAAGTCAATAGCAACGCAGTCCCCACGTTTGTCAGGAATAGGTAAAGGGTGTAGTGGCCCAGGCGGACGTGTCGTGCGTGATTTGTTGCGTTGGCATGAGTCGCATGACGGAATGTACGCCTCAATTAGATCTTTACGCATTTGCGGCCAGTAGAAGGATGTGCGTAGCATTTCGTATGATTTATCGCCCCCAAAATGGCCTAAATTATCGTGCGCTAGTCGGAACAATTGTTCTCGAAGGTCAGCAGTTCGAGGTACTACAAGCCGATCCTTAAGGAAAAATAAACCATCACGTTTAACTAGGTTAGGAAGTGAAACAAGAACACTGTCAAGTTTCGCGGTGAATGGGTCGTTGGGGTATTCTTTCCTGATTGTTGTTAGTAAAGCCTCGTCTGACTGAATTGCGAGTATGGAGGCCACGGTATGTCTTTCTATTTGTTCGTCGTCGCCGTGTTTGTTGTTGGAATCTGCATCTGGAAATTCGGTGTGTGAAAGCGCATCAGCCGCTGCGTTATCAGTACCTTTTAAATACACAATCTTAAAATCATATGCAGCGAGGAACTCTTGCCAACGGCCTTGTCGTCGTGAGAGGTCGCGTTGAGTCATGAAGTTTTCGAGAGTGCGGTGATCAGTCCGAACTTCGAATGCTGTTCTGAGAAGCTCGACTCGCCACTTCTTCAAGGTGTGAATGACAGCGAGGAGCTCTTTTTCGTGGACGGGGTACCGAAGCTCTGCATCTTTGAGGAGTGAGGACTCGAAAGCGACGGGACGTGCTGTTTCCCAAGTTGGACCCCATGAAAGAACGGCTCCTGTTCTATAATCACTTGCATCAGTAGTCATGAATATTTTATTATCTCCCGGGTTATCATGGTCGATAGTGGTCAACACGCATCGTAAGACAACGAGATCCTTGATAGCCATGAAGGCCTCCTGATGATCTTTGGACCATCCAGGCCACTCTAAATCAACAGATTTAGTGGTGAGACCGTTTAAGATGCACATGTACTCAGCGAGATCCGGTAGGAAGTCGGCGACATAACGGACGAGCCCAAGAAACGAACGAACGTCATTGGCACTTTTTGGGGCTGGCCAGTCCAGAATGCGGGAGATCTTTGTTGGGTCCGCTTCAATACCTCTGTCTGATATGACGTGGCCAAGGAAGTTGACTTCAGTTGCAAAAAGACATGTCTTTTTCGATGAGCAAAAGAGCGATGCTGCGCGCAGTGCTTCGAGCACTGTGTTGACGTTTTCAATGTGTTCCTCGACCGTTTGTGACCATATGATTATGTCGTCGAGGTATACGTGACAGATCTTTCCAATCAAGGGACGGAGGGCGGCTACCATGCGTCATTGGTGTGTTGCCGGGGCGTTGCGTACACCCATCGGCATGACACACCATTCGTGTAGACCAAAGGGGGTGTGCACGGCTAGCAGGTGTCTATCATCTGGGTGAACTTTAGTCTGAAAAAAGGAGTTAGTCATATCCATCTTGCCAAAGATCTTGCCTTTGGCGCAGTCTCTCAATATTTCGTCTATTCGTGGTAGGGGAAAGTTGTCGGGTACTGTGTTAGCATTAAGTGTACGAAAATCGTTTACCCATCTGGGCAACACCGCAGGATCTGCTTTGGGTATGATGAAGGACGGTGCGGAGTGTTGTGATGATGAAGGCTGTATCCTTCCAGCGTCTAAGTGTTGTTGTAGTAGTGTGTGCCAAGTGTCCCTATACTTCCTCGGGCAGTTGTACCCTCGAAGTTGGATCACTTGGTTGGCGTCGCGTAGTTTTATGCGGTAGTAAACATCATCTGGTAAGTCGTTACAGCAGTTTGCATAATGGTAGAGGCCGGCGGTATTTCCAAAAAAAATGTGCATTTATTTACAACAAAGTAGCGCTACAAAGATCGATTTTTATCTCAACAACGAAGCAAGCTATTGACATGGTCCAAGCGACAAAACTGATCAGAAAAATCGAACGCAGACGGCCAGCGAAAAAACTAAGTGATTCGGTGAAGCTCGTAGTCACCTGCTCTCAGAGCCAGTAGAACTACAAAGATTGATTTTTATTTCAGTAACGAAGCAAGATAATGACAAGTGGTAAGATACAAACTTGATCAGAAAAATGAGGCGCAGAAGACTGTAGAAAGGATGGAATGATTTGGTGAAATGGACACTTGCCTCATGTCCGCTAGCATCAAAACTAAATTCACACACATCTCACTTTTCCCGGTCTGCTACATTGTCTCGCAGGATGGCAAAGGCTTCTACCCGAGTGCGCAAGGTCAAGGAGCCTCGGAAATGCAGTTGTCCTCTGAAAAAGCAATTACAGCCCCCCAGTGGTACACAGGCAGAACATCCTCCAAGCCAGGAAGTCGTCTCAAAGACTAAACCACGGCCACAGCCCATTCCACCAAAAAAGTCCAGCACTTTGTCAGCGGCCACAGTGCCAGGTGGATCCAGGTCTGTCCCAGACGTCAGAGCAGCTGTAGCGTCAAGACACTAACTTTCTTCCTTGAATAGCCCGTGCGATGAAGTGTTCGCCAGATTGTGGACAATGACAGGTGTTTCCCGCGAGCCTGGCTAATCTCATCATGGAGTTCATCTAGATACATATCACAGCTGCGGGACAAATGGCCATGCATGTACTTTTGTTATGTCAGAATTTGTGCAGAAAGAGATTAAATATGGACGCACCTCAATATCTTCCAAGTCCATCATTCAAGTTCTGCCACTATTACCACTCTGGCTTTCTTTACGGCTTCCCAGTGAACTTATGGCATCGCGCAACCCTTTCAATCGTCGATTTTCTTGCACCAGTGTATGCCATGATTTCGGATGTGTCAAGGAGCGGTAGCACTCAGATGATAATTTCGCATAGTTCTTGCGACGATTTGTGACCTTTCATAGTGGGGTAAGGGAGACATTTGACTGGAGAAAAAAGTATTGTTGTAGACTGTTGGCTCTGAGAGCAGGTGACTATGAACTTCACCAAATCGCTTGATTTTTTCGCTGGCCGTCTGCGTGCGATTTTTCTGATCAGTTTTGTCGCTTGGACCATGTCAATAGCTTGCTTTGTTGTTGAGATAAAAATCGATCTTTGTAGCGCTACTTTTTTGTAAATAAATGCACATTTTTTTTGGAAATACCGCCGGCCTCTACCATTATGCAAACTGCTGTAATGTGAGGAATATCTGAAGGAAAACGGTCAGCGAAGCGAGTCATAGCATCGTCATTGAGCTTTGCAAGCTTCTCCGCAAACGTCAAGGCCTCGATCCTTTTCTGCAATACGGCACTGATGTTGACCGGTTCGATCGGTTCCAACTTGTTGTCGATTTTTGACCGTTGTTGGTGAAGAATGTCCTTTAATTCGAGGGCGAGAGACCTCCGGTACATGTTGACTTGTGAAACGGAAGGAGTAACAGTAGGTAAAGAAATGGGAATGGAAGGAACAGGGGGATTCAATAAATCATACAAGGATTCTTTAGCTATACAGGTACGAAGTTCGTGATCAATCACGACACGATTATGTGCAAGAAAGGGTCCACCAAGAAGAAGAGAAGCGCACAATTGAGGTGCGATAACGGCCTTTACGGTCCGAGAAGTCCAGTCACAGTTTAAGGAGGACGGCTTGATTTTAACATAATGATGAAGAAAAAAGGGGGGTGCATTTGAATCGGTGTTCATGGCGACGGTTGTTGAAATCGGTTTGTGTAATTTCCGACGGTGTAATCTGAGTTTGGTGACGAGGGCCTCATCAATCAGAACTAGGGAGGAGCCATCATCAATCAGCGCTGAAACAGAAACGGAAGAAGGAGAAAGAGGGCCGTCAAGTAAACATTGCCACTTAAGTTGTGGGGTGGTTAACGGAGCAACAGGTGGGTCATTAATTGGAGGCAGTGAAGGGGTGATGGTCAAAGGAGGAGAAGAGGTTGAACTGGAATGGACGTGACTTGAAGACGGTATCCTGACATACTCTTCTCCAGAATCTGTCCCGTTTCCAAGAACTGCGGAGGGCATCATGACTGCAGCGACGGCTTCCATGGACGCAACTTTTGCGGTCTTTGTAGACTTGTTCTTGCTGTTGAGCGCCATGTTTTCTGTCAGCGGTTTGTAGGTAGCACCATCAGGAAACCCGTTCTTGCAGTCTTTCGAGCGACAGGAGACGTAGAAGCGTCTGCACTTGAAACACCCTTCATGTTTGTTAAGAAGTTGTCGTTCTGTATCGGATAGGGGGGGAACACGAGTAGACATCTTGGCGGAGTGCTCTGAGGATTGGTTCGGTTTGGGAAGATTAGTGCGAGGGGCAAAAGGTTGTCTATTTCTGGAGGAAAGAGCTGCGTCGATCGCTTCTTTCTGTCTAGCGACTGTACGCAGGCGTTTTTCGTCCAAGTGTTTGACCTTTTCCATCCATTTCTTCAAGTCCACCTCTTCGTGCACTCCCTCGTGCCTACAGTCTGCCGATAGATCGTCGTTCATATTAGCTTCGAGCTGGTTGCGCATGAGGGTTTTCGAGAAATAAGATGATTCGCCGGTAAGGAGCGTGTTAGTGCTCTGTAGCTCGGCAGCCCATTCTGGGAATGGTCTGGTGCCTTGGGTCGAACTAAGCAGCTTCTTACGAACTTGAGCAGCCCAATCGGAGTCGAGCCAATTCGCACGAAAGTCTTTCATATATTCGTCGAAAGTCATGGCATCCAGCGCGACGCGATTTGTAATATACCAGTCTTGAAGATGCGGGTCTAACATGCCCCATGCTACTTTCTTCACCTGGACATTTTCAGTCACTTCTTTGTGGGTGAAGTAATTTTGACAGGCCATGTCCCATGCGCGGACGACTTCTGGTGTGAGTTCACCCGCGGTGAGAGTAGGTGGCTTTGTACAAGCCGATTGTTCAACGCGTGCAATCTTCATGTTGTTATATCCATGGTTATATGCGCGGTATTCGAAGGTCACTCTGACGTTGGACTCGTTGGATGATGACGATGACGACGAGGATTCGACGTCCGATTCACGCTGTGTTCGGGGTGGTGTTCTGTTGGCTAAGGTAGTGTTCTCCCCAGCTTTCGCTCTGGAGCGAGTTAGGAGGGGAACAACATTCCCTGCTGGTGGTGCTCGTTTATAAGGCACGTTGTACGTCACCGCGGCAGTTAAGGACTGCACTAATGAGCTGTAGGAAGGCGGCGGGCACAATTTTAGCAAGGCTGTGTTGCAGCGGGCACAATTCTGTCAAGACAGTGTTATGATATGGCGGTGGTGTTGATCTGTGACAGTGACGGTTCGTTCGGTGATGACTGTGTCGAACGCTTAAAAAAAAGTGGAAACCCCGTGTGTAGGGAAACACTCAGAACGGAACAGACAAAGTGTGGACAGGTCATGGATTGACGGTGCGGTCAGAAGTAGATAAGATACAAGGCAGCAGCGCCACATGATTATGAACCAATCAGCCAAGCCAAACATTCGCAAGCAAGTGCGTAGTAAGCATCCAGCTTACAATAACTTGGTTTATGTTTTATCAGCCAGATTGGTGAGCAATATTGGTATTCAGGTATCTCCACCAATTGTGTGACTTCACTACTGAAGTTGTAAGTGTTCATAAGTGTCTGTAACACACATAACATTTCAGTCATTTTGCAGATGCACAAACCCATACTATTACCTGATAATCATATGATAAGAGAGGGCTCTCAAACATTAATGACACTTGGAAGTGCTGGTTAACAGACTCATATTTGAAACACTAGGTCTTATACATAGATAAACAGTTCTCCATCTCCCTCCTCCAGCAAGTAGATATCTTGTATGATATATAGATAGCTGTGTTCTACCAATGCATGTCATTACCTTCTCCCTCCTCCATCTCAGCTAACACAGGCCAAAACACAGTTTGCTCACATCCTTGATTCATCTCTTTTATCTCTCTATTAAGAGAATATGCTGCCTTTCTAAAGGTAGCCTCAGCAACTATTGCAGCTTCATCTACCCCCTGTGTTATATGTGGGCTTGATGAAGGCACAGCCAGGAGCCCTACCAATGGATCAGAGGTACTGGCTGTACACGAATTAAGTTCCTGCATATAGAAGGTAGAACAAATCAATGTTTTCTGCTGCTGTTGCTCAGCTGGAAACAATGAGAGAACAGCTGTTAGGTAGGGGCGCAAAAGGATCTCAGCCGAATGGACAGAATTGGTAAGAAGAGGCATTGAGATATACAGGATACCTAAAATGAATTGAGGTACTGCCAACCATGAATTGAAAAAGTCACCGTACCTTTCCCAGAAGGGGCCGACATTGTACCTGGACCTGCTGTCATAACATGCACAGCAGAAATAGCCGATCCCCCGTGTAACGACCCCGGCGGAAAGACAAGAAGTAAAGAATCCGACACTTCTGACGTTCCCGAATCCTCGATATCCCACGGCAAAGTAATTGGCCCATCAACGACGGCAATACATCGCGCCACTGCAAATGGCCGCGGGGAGCTGTAGGATGATATACTCGGACGGATGACATCTGCTAGGGTGCTAAGGTGTCCTGGTAGAAGAGAAGTCGACGATATCAGGCATCGACAGTGAAGACGGTCTGGAAAGTCGTCGACTTCAATAGCGAACCGGGGTAGATCTGATGTCAAAACAGGGTTTTCTGGCTCAGCGGAATCGACAGACGAGATACTTGTAACGGATCGTCCTAGAATATAAACACCTCCCCTCACAGCAGCTGCCCGACAAAAGCCTTGTGCAATTTCGCCCGAGCCACCGTAGTAGCCAACAAGAAATGAGGATGGCCCATAGCGACCAGATGCCTTCAGGTAAGCGCGGATACGATGCAGAGCGGGAAGAGTCTTTTCTGCAATAAAATAACAGTATCCCAGGGCATAGGTGATGGCCCGAGCGGTTGCCTCGCTGAGCAAAAAAATCCTATGCAAGAAATCGAGCAAGGGCGAATTTTCTCGGCCATGCAGCTCCTTGTTATTCTCGAAATCTCCAGCAGCAAACATAAGGAAACGTGTGACCCTCCTCTTCTCTAAGAGACTCATCGCCTTGCTCTGAAAGATGTCATCCTTGCTCTGAGGCACATCTTTCAACATCCCACCATCATAAATAACAACGCGACCAAGGAGCTTGAAAGATCCATAGCGAGAGACGCCAGATGCAATGAGGGACGAAATGAAAGGGCCGATAGATGGAATGACCGAAGGACCCAATGAGACTGAGTACTGTCTCGCATAAGACGGGAGTTCACCATAATGGGTGACGGAACGATCGTGCTCTTTACGGCGATTAACCCACTGCACGAGTTCATCTAGTGAGAGAGATGCTTCGGCTGCACCGTAATATGGATTGGGGTCAATATGTGCGACTTTGAAGCCAGCTTTGGAGAGAGCACTGATAGATTCCTACTAAGTACAAGAACATTGTGTGCGAGTGTCAAATTTTGCTCACGCAGCAGTTATGGACTCGATCAGACCGGTGCCAAGCACGATAACGTCAAAGTGATTATCCATTGCTGCAGTGATAGAAGAAACTGATTCAGATACAGAGCACTCTCAGCATTCTGGCAAGTCCTGAACCAACCTGCCCTTAATCAGAATGGCTCACGTGCTTATCGAGCCAAAATTTTGGACTTCCTACTTCGCAAATCTGTATCCTTCACTTGCACACCATGGCAAAATCAGACAAGAAGGCAGACAAAAAGACGGCAGATAAGGCCAAGGCTGCCAAAACAGCTGCTGCCTCACCCGCAAAAGCAAAGTCGCTAGCGTCATCCAAAGAGATTTTGGCCAAGGCTGTATGTATTTCCTGTCGTTCAACCGTCCCCTTCTGACCTTTTTACACAACCTCCATAGAAAGTACTCAAAGCATCGAACGGAAAGGCTTCCGTTAAACGTGCCAACGACGAATCATCTGACGATTCCTCAGACTCCTCTTCGGAAGACGAACAGCCTAAAAAAACTGTGTTAACGTCGGACTCTGATGATTCATCGGAAGAAAAAAAGCCTGCTAGTACCCCGGCCAGCAAAAAAGGAAAGAGTAAAATGGAGATCGATGATTCCTCTGATTCGTCTTCAAGCGACGAGAGCTCATCAGATGAGGTCCGTGACAAGGATGTAGTGATGCAAGATGCTCAGCCTGCCAATGGTGAGTGATTGATGATACTAGTCTGCGCTCAAC